GTTACCTGATTGGCAGAGCGATAGACAGCTATCAGTAACCCCAACGACGACCGACAAGAAGCGCGTCACTTATTTCGAAAGTTAAGTACTTGAAGGACCTTGTCGCGTTACAATTATTAATTATTCAATTCTAGTTAACGACGCTTCAGTTTCCCGTTCGCCCTCAAAATCACCGAAGTAAACGCACACTTCTGCCGACAGGATATGAACGAGGAAATGCACCCACCAGTGCCGGCGTCAGATTGACAAGACCTGATTGTGCAACTCCACTACTGTACGATTCTACTAACCCTGACAGGAACACAATGAATAGGTAGGTACGTGTGTAATACGGTCCCAGACGCAAACACACTTGAGAGATTACGGCGAGCGTATAGCTACCGTTTCAATGCAAGCCAGTATTATACGCCGACCTACCGATTGTTTTCTTTAATAGTCTACAATAGATTGTTACCAGCTAGCAAGTATCACAACCAGTCCTCGTCATCTGTCTAGCACCTTATGTCACGTATCCTCGTGCCCACATTTGCCACGGCCTTATGGAAGAGAAATAAAGTTAACTTTTAGTAGGGAGCGGAAACCTACCCTAAATTTCGGGACTGAATTCATACTGCCAACGTCACTCGGAATTAGAATGTGCGAGCTATACGAGTGACCCTGTCATCTGTGGGTGCAGTCGCTACCCACCACTACGCAGGGGAGAATGTACTAAGGGTTCCGTCCACAAAGTATAATCCTTTCAACCGGCGATCCAAAATTCAGATTGAACTACAGATATATCCCATACAGTGGAGCGGCAAAGCGTCAAAATATCGAAGTCAGATGGAGAAGGCCCTTTGGAGCTAGGTTGATAGAGGGCGATGCAAACGTCGCAACACCCAATTCGTGCTCACAAACCCCGTCCCACTCCCATGCGTTGTGCAACCCAACAGTACGCGAGGTAAACTCGATCGATTTTAGGGCGCACGACCTAAAGGAGCTGATCAGATGTTTAGACATTCTAAGCTGCGGACTAATGTTGATCATTTTCTTATATTGATTGCTCTCAGGTCACCACGGTTCTTACGGAAACAAAGCCGGTAGATAAAACCAGCTGACGCGTCCACTTACAGCTAAGTTGCACTTGGCAGACTACATAGCACGACACACCCCCGAGGATAAGACGGACGCCCAGCCCAAATACTACACCAAACGAGAAACGTAGACAACCGTATGACGGCTACGACGTCCCATGTGGAAGTCAGAGCAAAATAAGTATTCCGTAATAAAAATTCTATGGTGGAGTATATGACAGTAAGGACAACATGATGAACGTCTTAACTGGAACTCCTCACAAAGGTACATAACAATGGGGAGCGAAGGGGCAGTAGAAAACAAGTCACGGTAACACAAATGCGTCGCCAATTAAATGCGGTATAAAGGCAAGTAGAAAGAAAACATGCAGGTGATGTAAATGATCTCAAAGGGGGACGCGATAGATAAACTGTACAAATCAGCAAAACGGTGCATCTCGTGAGGTTGTGAAGTCCCGTGATGGATGTGAGATCCAAGCAGGTAACGCTCACCTAGTGCACACAGATCTATGCATCAGCCTTGGATCCGTTGACGGTCTCCACGGCATGGTCGCCAGCCTCATCGGTTGCCTTGCACTTCGCGCTAGGAGCGTCCTCCGATTCCTTGGCTTCGGCAATGGGCCGTTTAACGGCTCTCCTTGGGCCTTCCACACCGGATCCGGAGAGGTCAGCAACCTCATCTTCATCAACTTCTTCGTCATCCTCATCCTCGTCTTCATCTTCTTCGTCCTCATCATCAAGATCGTCTACGTCCTCGTCTTCAGCACCTGCATCGCAAAAAATATTATGAAACTCTCGTTGGCAAAGATAAAAACGGAGAGCAAGACAGAGAACACTTACCAGGAACATAGTCTTCTTCATCATCTTCTAGTTCTTTACTACCCTGAAGCGCAGAAATTCCAACTTCCTCTTCTTCTTCCTCGTCATCATCTTCATCGTCGTCCTCTTCGTCATCACCCTCTTCTACGTGTGACCCATTTTTTTCAGTTGCTACATCTACTTAAAAACATGAAAAGTAAAGGTATGGCACACCTTTAACTGGTTTTGTGACGGCTTCTGCGGCCACTTCGGTCACAGGCTCATCCCCACCGCTCCTGAGACAAAATTAAATTAGTTAGGAGACTTACTGGTCGAGACCATCCAAGTATTTCAGTTTGGGAAGGACGGCGAAGACTTCCTTACGGTAGTCCTCGATGGCAGCAATGTCACAGTTGTTCAGTTCAAGAGACTTCAGATGTTCAAGGCTAGCTAGGGGAGCCAAGTCAGCTACAGCCTTTAATTTGTTTCCAGACAGGTTAAGAGTCTCGAGCTTAGGACATTCCGTCAAGGTGTCGAGGCCGTCAACAATGGGATTTTCCGACAGATCCAACTACGAATTCGTGAGTGAACATATGGCGTACCTTAGTAAGTTGAGGAAGAGCTGGGAAGCCCTTGAGTGTAGTTAA